AACAGGCCCAGAAGGCCCAATAGGCCCAAATCACAGCGCCCAGAGTACCAAGCAGCCCGCAAAATGCGCCAGGGGTGCCTTCGGCCCCCTGGCCGAAGGCTGAAACTCTCACAGAACGGGTTTCTCGAGCAAACTAAGAAACTGGGGGAAAAACGGCAGAAAACAGTAGCCCTCGGCACCCGGAGCCCTCGGCACTCAGGGGTCCTCGGCACTAAGAGCCTTCGGCTAGTCCCCTGCAGCCGAGGGCACCTCTCCCGACATGATATCCGCCTCACATGCGTACAGATCACCGTACCCTGTACAGTCGTCCCATCCAACAGCCGCATTAAATGCGGCCACATGCGGCTGCCAACGCCAACCAGTTGAGGTGACCTCTCGGCCAATGGGCGCTTGACACGCGTCCCTGTCCGGCCCTTATTGCTACTATAAATAGCACCCCATTTTCCCCATTTGTAACCACGCTGAAAACGCTCCACATTTATAATACACTCTCTCTCTCTACATTTACTTGCTCTGACTTCTCTCTAAGTTATTCTCAGCAATAACCCCTCGGATATATACCCCCGGGTAGACTATCCATCAAATAATAATAATAATAATAATAATAATAATAATAATTAGGGTTGTGCACTATCCGGTTTAAACCGGAAAACCGGTGCACACAGTGAGCGCTAGGGGTGCCTTCGGCCCCCTGGCCGAAGGCTCCAATTCTCAGAGGAGGGTCAAAACAGGAAAACAAAGTTACTGGGAGAAAATGGCGAAAATCAGTAGCCCTCGGCATCTGGAGTCCTCGGCACTAAGGAGGTCTCCTGTGCTCAGAGCCCTCGGCTAATCATCTACAGCCGAGGGCACTTTTTCCGACATAATATCCGCTAACACCCTCTTGTCCCAAACATAGTGGGATGAAGGTAGTATGTAGTAGTGCTTTTAGGTATAAGATAAGCCGGCCAACAATTGTGTGGAAGAATTTTCTCTCAAATGTAGTGGTTTTAGTTAGATATAAGAAGATCAACTTGCTAATAATTTAGCGGGACAAATTTCTCTATCAAACGTAGTCTTTTAGTCATCAGAAAATAAAATTGCTACCATTTGAGTAGGGGAATTGAGCAGGATAATTTTCTGTCTCATATTTAGTGCTTTTGAGGTGTTACAAGATAAGCTTGCTAACTAACAATTGAGCAAATTAATTTTCTCTCACATGTAGTTCTTTCAAGTATGAAATAAGTCGGCTAACAATTGAACGGGATAATTTTCTCTCATATGTAGTGCATTTAGGTATAAAGAAATACAAATATAATAAGCTTTCTAACAATTGTGCGGGAGAGTTTTTTCTCTCATATGTAGTTCTTTTTAAGTATCAGATAATCGAGCTAACAACTTAGCAAGAAAATGTGTCTCTCATATGTAGTGTTTTTAGGTATAAGAAGATAAGTTGGTTAACAATTGAGAGGAGCATTTCTCCCTCATATGTATAGTTTTAGTATAAGAAGACAATGTATAAGATAAGTTGATAACAATTGAGTGGAATACTTTTATTTCTCATATGTAGTGCTTTTAGGTATAATAAAGAAGATAAGCGTGCTAATAATTGAGTAGAAGAATTTTATCCCTCATATGTAGTGCTTTTAGTTACTTTATACCTAAAAGATTTACATATGAGAAAAAATTCTCCTCTCAATTGTTAGCCGGATTATTTTATATCTAAAAGCACCACGTATAAAAGAGACAATTCTACCGCTTAATTGTTAGCCAGAATTTCTCTCATATGTTAGCACTAATTTAACTAATGATTAGCAAGTTCTTATTGAACTAATATTCGTTAATTTTAATATTTATTGTATTCATTTGAATTTTATGTCATTCATTTATTGTACTTACTTTTTAAGAATAGTATTTAATTTTAAAATTAATTTGATCATGAAAATTTAGAGGCAGCAAATTCTAATGAGTGGTGTCAATTAATTATCCCTAATATACTCTTCATTTAATATTTTTTGTATGGCTTATACTTTATGATATTAGTTTGCTTTACTTTTATTTTTTGAAAATATCTTTTAAATATTAAAAGTTATTTTTATTTTAATATTTAATTAGATAATGAGTAAAAACATATCCTCCAACCGCCATTTTCCGTGCGTAGTAATATACTAGTTTTGGAATAAAAAAAAGTAGTAATATTTTGGAATTAGAAACTTGGGGAGTAGGTCATTCATCATTTATTTTCGATTGTTGCTCTTGATGTTTGACTTTATTAAGAAACTAGAAACGGTGCATTAGGCGCGTCTCGTTGATTGTTCGAGCTAAAGATGAGGCCGATTTTCGTTGGCAATTTTGAGTATGAGACTCGCCAGTCTGATCTGGAGCGACTGTTTTCTAAACACGGGAGAGTCGATCGTGTTGACATGAAATCTGGGTTTGCGTTTGTCTACTTTGAAGATGAGCGTGATGCTGCTGATGCTATTCGTCATTTGGATAATGTTCCGTTTGGGTATGACAAGCGCAGGCTTTCTGTAGAATGGGCAAGGGGTGAACGTGGGAGTAGACATCGTGAAGGGACGAAGTCTGTTCGTGACATAGAGAGGCACTTTGAGCCGTATGGGAAAATCCACCATGTCCGTATTCGAAGGAATTTTGCATTTGTCCAGTTCGAAACTCTGGAAGAGGCAACCAAAGCTTTGGAGTGCACTCATATGAGTAAGATACTTGACGGTGGTGTCTGTACCAGGGGCGAATCTAGCATTTACGTTCAGGTGGAGCCAAAATTTAATTAAATAACGTATATTGTAAAAAAATGTCAAAATGTAGTACATCATAATAATATCTTAGAAGTCAAAATGTAAATTATAGAAATGTCAAAGAATAAATTGAATATTACAGAACCGACAATACAATTATCTTAAAAGTCATAGATATCGAACCGAAGTTTTATCGGTTACCCAAATGTTTAGTGCCAATTTTTAGGTTAGTTTCTCGGAAACAAGATAAACCGGTTTTTTTACTCTAAAATCTATACTCTATGTAAAGAAAACTTATTTTCACCTACGAAATCCAATGTATTCAACTAATTAATTTTCCGGTCAATATTCAAAAGCCCAATGAATTAAACTAATTAATTTTTAAGACAATATTCAAAAAGCTAAATCAATTGAACTAATTGGTTTTTCAAACTAATAAAGCCAAATTAGTTGGACTACTTAATTTTTGCATCCTAGTATTCAAAAGTTAAAATTCAGACTTGATTTGTGTAAGATAGCATGTTCCTGGACTTGGATGGAAAATACAAAAAAAAGGCTGCTCCAACTAGAAATCGAACACATAACCTCTACATTGCCAATCACACCTCTACCATCACACCAACATAACTTTTGTTTACAATAGGACGTTTGTTCTAATTATACCATTTCTTCCCAGTACATACATACATACATATATATATACGATAGTATATATATACTAGTAATTTCTTTTTTTTTTGAGGTGGGGCCTAGGCCCTCCCTGGCCCTATGCCAGATCCGCCCCTGGTCTGTAGAGTATGCCCTTAGAGATGATGATGAGAGAGGTGACAGTCTTGATAGCCCTCCTAGAAGAGACAATGTAAGGCGTGGGGGTGGGGACAGCCCTCCGTATAGAAGATCACCGAGCCCAATTTATCGCAGAAACAGGCCCAGTCCTGATTACGGACGCGCACGTAGCCCTGTCTATGATCGGTACAATGGACCCACGTATGACCGAGTCAGGAGCCCGGAATATGCAAGGCACCGTAGGTAGTTTGTCCTGAAGGTACAAGAATGCGTGAAGATTGGTACTAATGGATAGTATGAAACTATGAACTTTTGATGTAAATGCATGTGGGTTGTGAAGCTCCATTTGTGTCATACTTTGACTAAAAGATAGATCTATCTTTATCTTAAAAAAACATTGTTTCTTGATAGAGTATACGGGCTCAGACCCACGCTCCACACTCTCAGATATACAGATGGTCCAAATCCACACCGGTACCAGAAGGCCCAACGAGAGAGTCCAGTCCAGAATGAAGAGACTGACTTTGTGTCCGTACTATCACCTCACAGTGACGCACCTCGGAATGCTTGGACAATTTTTCCTTGAACCCATTTACCAAACACTACCAAATTTTACTTTCAAAATCATTTTTTTTAAATAGTACCAACTTTTACTATTAAGCATTTTTCTAATATAATTTTAAAAATTCACTTTTTCCAAAATGCGGCTATACTATCTTCATTCTTTTTTTGACCAATACTAATTTCATTCTTAAACAAGTAAAGATCTTGAATTTTACTTAGACTACATTTTATATATTAATGTTGAACTTCACAAAAAATTATTTTTAAAAAGTACTAATAAATTTGTGGTATCGTAAATTTTCAAAATCTGAACTTTTTTATTTTTAATGGGTGCAGCGCAATAGAAACAGAAAGAGATGGACGGCCATTTAGGTTAAGGGCATCACATACCTTTCACATCATTTTTAATCACTTTTTTGTGCACACGAAAATTAGTCCTATTTTTGTCCATTCTAAACTCCATAGTAGTATTTTTGTCATTCTTTCAAAACAATTCCTATAAGGATTGGCAGGAGGGCGGTATACTCCCTTCATTGTAGCTGCTTTTATGATACAACAAAAAAGGAAACTTTATTTTGATATGGAGGGAGGGGGGTGATAAAAGCATCTCCAATAGTTCCTTTTGAGGACATGCTTGCAATGTTCAAGCTAATACCTCACCATCCGAGCATTGCTTTCTTTTTGTTTGAGAAAGCTAATTAGCCAAAATGAGCTTCTAGCTTGAGCAACAAGAATTATTAATACTCCGTATAACATTATTAATAATAAATGAGAAAAATGGTATAGGTAATCATTGAAGTACATTTTAATTTTGCTGCAAATGCTTTTGATGGTAAGCTATTTCTAACCAAGTTATGAGAGTAATTAGCTAATCGCCGTAAATGCTCTAATATTACCAGCCGAGATCGCAAGCTGGCACTTGACTCCCCTAGATCCTCCACTATGATGGAGAAAAAGCTGAATAGGCCCTCAGCCTATCATTGATGTTCTTTCTACAATTTAATTAAGATGAAATGCTTCTCCAAATATTTCCATGCATTGCACATATACAGTATTTGCTTCCTCCAGGACAAGTTGACAACTGCTCAGTGACAAGTCAGGGCTTCGATGGAGTGATTTGGTAATTCAACGTGCAGCAGCCTTTCGCTTTTCACCAAAAGAAGATCCATGGCAGCGCCTGCTTGTCTGGTTTGAAAGCTCTCTCCATCACAGCCTTTAGTTCAATTTCAGCACATGTACCATTAGGAGACGGTGTAAACTCTAAATAGGGTGAGGAGTCTTCTATTCCTGTTTCAAGCATTTTATTGTCCGGTCAACAAAGTGGACTGAATTCACTCAACTAGGCATAAGGCACCATTGGCTTAAACCACACATCAACATATAAAATCAAAGCTAAAAAAGATACTACGTACAATAAAAGAAGATAACATCATGCTGAAGTCCCACGCTTGAAAATTGTGAACTAATAAAGTGCTGAAGTCCCAGATTCTAACTTGATATCAGAGCCAAATTGATTCATAACCATGACGTATGAAGAAATGATCTTAACACATCACTCGATCTTCTACGTACTTGGCCTAAATTGCACTAAGAGGATAAATTCAATTATTCTCTTCAATTCTCCTGGACGGGATTTTAATGCAATGATTTCCAAGTAGAGGAATGTGTTAAAGAGAATGCCTGGGAAAGAGAATATATCTCACCTTTACGTTTGCGCATCTTGGGAGTCTGTTACAGTGACTTCTTTAACCACACACTTCCAGGAAACACCATCGTGTTTATATCGCTCAAGCTTCTTTTATCATTATCTTCAAAGGGTTCAAAGCCGAACCTCATAGTCCATGTCTCCACTAAACTGGGAATTGCAGAAAGCACAAGTTTCTCAACCTTCAATGACTTTAACATCTACAGCCATCATTCAAGTTAATCCATATTAGTGCATAATACATAAAGCTTAAAGCATCAAACCCATACCACGCCACAGAATCTCATATGGATGGCACAAACAAAATAACGGGGTGACTGTACTTTTAAGTGAGCCATAATTGATAATTGATATCAATGATACGGAGTAAGATTATTAGAGTATTAAAAATCATAGAAATATACTTTACTTAGTTTAGTATATTAGATTTTCTTATTCTTAATAGGTAGGTTCAAGAGTTGGATTTCCAATTCCTACCAAGATGAAGTCCACTATTTCCTTATACCAAAATATAAGCATACTAATAGACTCCAGAAATGAAGTTGTAGAGTAAGTCTTATCAATAAAGCTAGCAGGTTATTATTTGACAAAGATGTTTGATTTTTTATATACCTCCTCTATGCAGTTCATTAGCCGACGACACATTCCCTTGCGGCGGTATTTGGTGCAAGTTGCAATTAAAGGTAACTCTGCTACCTTAGTCCCATGGATCCTGTTTCATGTGATGATTTTTAGAAGAGCAACTTTTATGACTTCAAGGAGAAACAAGGAAAGAAAATACAGGGATTTGGCGGGGGTGCATGTTGAACAGTCCTCGATTATTATGCTCATCCTGAAGAGCTGAAGTACATTTTAGATTTATATAAGAAAACATAGAGCACGTAGAACATTCTTTTTTATATACATTGAAAAGCACATTTATAGTACTCCACAAATAACACTATAATCACCTCATTGTATATGTCACATTTTTTGTCATATATTTGTCATTATTTCTTTATTAGAAGAAGGTTGGACTATAAGTTACCTAATTGAGGCTACTGACACCATAATGTCATCATCTTCCAAAACAGCAGTATAAAATCCACAGTAGTCCAGTCGCCCGAGATGTGATCTGCAGAGAAGTAAAAGACAGGATATTGGAACATAATAAAGAGGGAATAATAATACAAAGTCTGCACACACCTCCGGTTATAGATCACTTGAGGTATCATATCTATGCCCGTTTTAGGATCCACCATTGGAAGAAAACTTTCCTCCATAATGGTAAGGGCCACTGCTAACTTGGAGTTGCATTCTGCATTAAAAGGAGGAAACTGCTGGGCAGAATGGTTGTTCTTGTCACGAGGGATGCACTTCAAAAGTGTCCAAGAGAGGCCATCACTTAGCTGATTCGGTAGTCCAATGAGAGACTTAAGATGGGTGTAAACCTGCATAAAGTGGATAAAAAAGAACCACCGAAAAGCCGGCAAATAGAAAATTTAACATTTCACAACTACAATGGATATGTTTGGAGTGTGTAAAATGTTAGGGTGAGGAAGAAAATGATGCCAAGAAAATTATTTTTTTTGTGTGTGGTTCAACCTTGGAAAGTATTCAGGAAGCTCAAATTGGATTAAAACTCCGAAAGTTTGTACATCAGTTTGCATTTCTTAATCTTTACATAATAGGAAAAAAACAATCTTTGCATTTCTTAAAACATATTTATAGAACTGATTAATTGAGTTTGAACCAATTTATAGTTTTTCCCTAATCTTTGTTTCCTTCTCAGTTCCTCTATTAGTCTATTTCCTTTCCTTAGATTTTTACAGGTTCCAAATGGGCCCTAAAGAAACTATGCATTCAAAAAGTTGTCAATGACAAACATTCCATCCCAGAGTTGAAGTACATGTCTGTCGTTCAACGATTTTAGGTAACTCATGAGTAGCTTTGGTTACAATTATAAGTTGCGAATTTTGAATTACTTGCTGTTTTTTCTGTGTCACTATATCAGAACATCACACTTACCATTTCTTTTGTGGTTAAGACTCTTATCAATGTGCAAAGTTCCTTGAGTGCAGTCAGTAATTGACAACAAAAGTTCTTTATATTATACAGTGAAACAAATTTAATATTATAAAGGGAAGACTATGTTTACCTTCTCACATTGGTCACTACATGACCAGTAATCAGAAGCAACTCCACATTCCATGCCTTTTTGCTTCAAGCAAGCCTCATGGTCTATTCATAGTTATTAAGACAATCCAGTAACCAAATAAAAGTCAAGAAAAACACTAACTTACCACAAAATGGAAAAAGGAAAATAAAATATAGAAATTCATTGGGAAAGAATAAGGTTTCATTAATAGTGCTAGGACGATCTTTCGAAGCGAAACATTCGCAGGAGAGCAAGCTTACATCGATGTTCGCATTGTATACACTTGTGTGCATTAGTGAATGCAGAAACTTCAGTATCTATTACCACATCCCCGCAGGCCCGGCATGCGCATTGCGGGCAATACCAACTCCCTTCTGGAAGTTCCTGAAGCCAGCAAGTGATAACTGTGATTAATGAATGCATTCTTTTATGTTCAAAACAAGGTATCCTCTAATTCTGCTGAAGAGAAAACACTACTTGTTAAACTGCAGAAATCGTAACTTTATGCAAGAGCTGGCATCCTGTGTGACGAAGATAGCTTATGCAACATTTGTATTACTTTTTAGCATGACAGTGTTAACTTTATGCGAGTTTTCTAAAAATTATCACATTTTCTTTTATAGTTGTATTTCTCAACTCACATATTTAAGAGACGGCAAGTGTTTTTTTGTGTATTGAAGAATGGAATTAAGATCCAATACATACAAGACAAAGATGCCCATGGATGAAGAAATCCTCCTATTGAGTACACTAATTGAGTATATATTCTATTAGTACAAATTCTACTTGACTTGCCATATATTCTATGTATATCCTATTACCATATATTTTACTCCTCTCAAGATGGTGTGCCATGCGCAACTTGTTAAAAGAATAAGAAACATTAATATCATTTAATGCCTTCGTAAATAAATGCCCCAATTGTTCTGCGGTTTCACATAACCAATAGAATTGAGACCTTTTAATAACTTCTCCCTAATGCATTAAATGTCAATGGATCTCAATATGCTTTATTTTCTCATGAAAATTTAGATTAGATACAATGCAATTTGCAGCCTGCTTATCACGTATTTATGTCACAACTTGAAGGTATTGGTGTTGCGGATTTGATTATGATTCTACACTTGAACGAGAAACCACACAGTAAGTCAGTAACTAGATGGGATATTCAAATTTCCTTTTATCCTACCGATCAATATCTATAAAACATTATATCCTCATGCTAATGTAGAAAACAGTCTTCCTAATATCACATGCTACACTAATCACATATATTCAATTAGTATGTATTCTTACTGATTTACCTTTCTATAACTATATGTAGTATATGATAATCAAATACATGATGTATATTTGATTACCATATACTCCTGCCCCATTATCTGTCTCATCCATCCTTGAGTGTTCATCCTAGTGATCTCTCTAACTTTATCTGAAACCATATTTGGAAATATTTGTGTGGTTCAAATTTATCTCATATCCATAATTATCCTTTGTCTCTCTGATGCATGTAAAAGGTTATTGAGTATTGGAGTATATTGCCAAACCAATAACCGAATCCAGCAAAAAACCAAAATCTTTAGATGCAGTGCTTGAATGAATTGAAATGAAAGAAAAAAATTAAGGCCATTATCTTTTCAAGGAGTAAAGAGGAAGAGGGTTAAGAGCAAAGGTGACTTTTGAGTTTTGACCACTACATTTTGATTCCTGAAACCTAGAAAGATCGATGCTGGATGTAACTTCTAACTTACCTCTCCTGTTAAAACATCACTAAATGAGCATTGTGATACTTTTATATCATAAATCCATGATTGTCTGTACATTTATTTTGGACTCTCTTCAACCCCCCCCCCCCCCCCCCCCCCTCTAAAAAAAACTCACTATTTTTTGGCTTGGGAATATGATGAAATAAAGCAAAAAGTCTCACTAAACTGTCTGCGTCTCTTTGTTATGAAGCAGCAGTTAGGCCATGCAATTTAATTTTGATGCAATTTTGATCATGGGTCATCCAGAAGAGAGACAATGTCTCTCTGTGCTTTAGTACAGTGGTGTTAATGCTGGGTTAATGCTGTTGTTGTAACGTAAAGTATGAGAAAGTTATCTATTTCTCTTTAGCTTTGCAAAGTCAGAATCCTTTCAAGAATTCAACTTGATGCTATGAAAACCAAGTACCAACAACTAGTACCATTCTCATTCAATAAAGTAGTAAGGGAAGCTTGAGTTTAATCCCATTTCACCCAATTTTTAATTTAATAAAATTGGCACCCAGAGCTAGAAAGAACTTTTACTAATGATGTACAAACTCCACTCACGAAGAAAATAGGATGCAAATTGTAATGCTTTAAATAGGGGGTGCAAACTCACGTTTAGATGAAAAAGTGGGGTGGGAACTCCAATTTCCCCTAACTACTTGGTACCCATTCTCATTTGTACAAATAAGTGATATTAAAGCTTTCTATTAGTACTTCCCCACAAAAGAACTGTAGAAATTTTAAAGAACACATAAGATTAAATTATAATTATGCATAGTTATGAGATTACCAAGTTGAAATATCTCTCTGTTAGCCATCGTGTGTTAGATAGTCCTCAAACAAGCATTTAGTTAAGAAATAAGCAGCATCAAGGTTCCTAAGAACAGGATCAGATTAGCAGAAGTAGCTTCCAGTGTGAAGCCAAATGTTTAGTTAGGTGTATCCTCACACTTGAAGATGACAAGCTATAAACTTGAAGAGAGTGAAAAAATTAGGCTAACAGACTGAGTTTATTATAACAAAGAAGTAAGCAATAAAATGTCTAACCTGTGCATACAAGCATGCCTGATGAAATGTAGATGGACAGTTATCACAACATATCAACTCCCCACCCTCACCACAACGCCCACAACTATCATCATTTTGATCTGTTCCATTAGGCTGTGCTGCTTGAGGATCTGGTTTCTTAGCCTTGTATGCAGCTAACCATGCCTCAAGCTGACACAAGATGAATGGCTTATTACCAGTTTCCATGAACAGATTCAAACTTGGATGGTTCAGCTTGCAACCAGCATGACTCTTGAACTTGGAGATAGATAACACATCACCACAACACTTGCATAATATGCCTTCCCTAGTAATTGAGCCATCTTTCACAACAAAACTACCTTGTGGACCTTCCCGATATTGGATCACTTCGTTAGTCGAAATTGTCCCGGAATGAATCAACCATGACAACACTGTTCTTGGAGCATAAGCAGGCCACTTTCCATCCAAGGGCTGTTTCCCACCACACCTTTTTGCGCCCCGCAGAAGTAACCTGCAACGACCTTTTTGTTGTCTCTTCTTTTTTAGTGGTTTGGATTTACCAAAAGACCTATTTTTTGCAGAACTGGATGCTTTAATTTTGACAGTAGTTGAGTTTGAAAGACCACCATCCTTCACACGCAACTTTTTACACTTCTTTGGCTTACTTTTTCTGCAGGCACCCTTTCTAGAGGATAATCCAGCCTTACAATTGGATGCCGCTGTGTCATGTCTGCGCGAATCTGTCAAAATTATCTCCGAGAGCAGTTTTGATTTCTTCTTTACCTTCATTTTAGGGTAGGATTTTGCACCTAGAGAAACATGTTTGACCAGAGCTTCTTTGAATTCTTCTTTGCTTTCTTTCTCCTGACACAGATATAAACGTTTTCCAAAGTTAACAGAACTTCTATTATTGATTACTGCCTCTGTTCTTCCCCACAAGGTTAAGGTTTCATTCTCTAAATAGACCGGAACTTCAAGCAAGCAATTGTCTTTCTCTTTCTCCAATATCCTCCTGTGTTTGGGAGAGTGCTGATTGTCATTGTCCAATGAAGACAGCGACCTTTTCTTAGGATCATGAGGTGCCACACTTTGACCAGAGCATTTTTTATGTATAGATTGATCATCATTTAACACAACACTAACTGCAATAAGAGAAGATTCACTAAACTGAATATTTACATTTGGAGATTCTTCACTTCTTGAGAATCCAGATTCATCCAGTTCCTTAAAGGAAGAATCCTTACCCTTCGACTTGGCTAGTTGAATGGTGTTGGCCTGCTGAGACTCAGTGGCACGATTGTTCAAAGAAACAAGTGAGACAGTGTGTTTGCTAACAACATTTTTTTCATTGAACTTAGAGGGTTCTAGTACTATAGCATCCTTTCCGGTGATTTCATTTTCTCTATTCAGCTGACTTTGCAACTTCTGCAGATAGCAACCACAAATTACCTCTTTGTTATATGATTCAACTACATGATGAGTCACAATCTCAGAAGTTGCTTCTACAGCAACATCCAAGGAACCCAATGAGTTTATTGAAGTTCTCAAATGATGCCTGGTGTTAGCAAGCTCTTTCCTTTCATGCACTTTTCCTCCAGAGCTTGCTTCCTTCGAGCAGTAAGAATTCCCATGCACAATGTTTCCTTTTTCATCATCACGTTCAAATTTGATACTTCCGGTCACATTACACTTTCTTTTGCTTTCACTATTATCAAAGAACACCTCTTTAAAGATTTGATGCACGTTGAAAGACCCGTCAAATCTATCATCATGCAAGTCATAAATTTCTTTAGGAAACATTTCCAATTAGTACTACTTTGTTCCAATTTGCAATGATTCCAACCAACCTAACAACACAGTACTTCAACAGATCAGTTTTTGACTTTTTGTACTACAATCTTTTAAATGCCTTTAAAAATTATTTTTAGAAGTTCACGATTAGATTTTTGACTCCTGCACTTCACATGAAAGTGAAAACCATCATACATAACCATACCAAATCCTAGTGAAAATCATTGCAAATGTCCCAAGTTAAAAGTAGCATGAAAAAAGGTAGTTTCAATCCTACTCCGTATATAAATTTGGACTTGAGTCAATCTTCAGATAAAGGCCCATATAAATAGTTCTCCTTTTGTCCCTTTGGTAAATGGCATAATTTTTTAGGCAAGTGGTTACATAAAGTAATTTGGGTAAAAAAGAGAGGAAAGAAAAACTTAGATAAAGTAAACATATAGTGAAAGTAATTAAAGGGAGATAAGTTGGGGAAGAGAAAATTGTGAGACTTACATGCAATGAGTTGGAAAGAGAAATTTGAGTAAAAGTGCAATTAAAGAAAGTAAATTATCTCTTAAAATGAAATGAGAATCTTTAAATGGGACACTCAAATAAGGAAGGAGGGAATGTGATTCTAATAGGTCCACATAAGTCCAATAAAATCATTAGCTTTAATCTAACATTTACTGTAACAAATAATTTGTACACGCAACATATAACTAATAATTTAAATTATCCTTAAAATAATACTTTCACTAAATAATCATATGCACACATACAAATTATAAATATAAAGTGTTCCAATCACTCACCTCGACACAAATCAAAATATGCCCGAAAGTATCCGACCCTCCCCGGGCTGTCCAACCCAACCCGGTTACTGTTCATAGTCAATCTCTTCTACCTCAATCTCCGGGCAGCAGCGATATCAGATATGGCCTGGCACAGGGGTACACCGCGCGTCTACCAGCGATGAAAAAAGTACAACTGCCATAGCCGATTTTACAATGCGGAATCAGATCGTTTAGTATGTATACATATAACTCAATCCTGAAGTCATCGACTAGCTAGCTACTTGAATTGAGGGGTGTTTTTCCGGTGGGTTTATGAATGATGATGATGATGAAGAAGAAGAAGAATACATACATACATCCCTCATTATGCATGCATGCAAGATTTCCTTAGCTTACGTACTATTAGAGATGGATGCATGAATAAATTAATTACCTTGATTAGCTTAATTAAACCTCACGGAAACTTGAACTTGGCCGGCCTATTCAATTCGCAGTTCAGCCTTCCGCCACGACTCTTTCTCGTTTGGGATAGATATGACTCGATCAGCTCGTAAGTAAGTATTTAGATTTAGATTTAGATTTAGATTTAGAATTAGAATAGGTCGCGCGGTTAACTTGATCCGACCTTACCGCTGCATGTGCTCAACTTACTACGAGTAGAACTAGCTACGTTTAAGATCAGTTCGTATACCAAACGGTAGCATGTATTCCATCCCAAATTTCATCCCAAATTGCACTGGGCTTCATTATTATTTTTTTCTCTTTTTCTTAAAAATGGTAATAACTTTTTTATTTTTGATCCGATTTTTATAAAATCTATATCAATTTTTATTTTTATTTTTCATGATCTTTCAAATGATCGAGACCAATATTGCCTATGTAATTTTAACATATTATCGAACTATTATATTAACCATTATTAAATTATAAGGAAAAACGAATGTGTATCAGTTGTATATGGTGCAACCGGCGCAACTTGAGCATCATGTTTCACTCCAAAAAACGACGTAGTTTTCCACAATTTAAAAAAACGCGTGAACAGTACACGCGTGTACACAGGGACGGAGTCAGGACACTGGGTCAGACTGAGCCGATACAAAGAATATTATTGGAAAAAAATTTACACGAAATTTTTTACACTAAAAATATTGACATTTTTTTAATTTGGGGTGGGCTAGGGCTTAGCCTGGGCACCCCTAGCTCCGCCCCTGCGTGTACAATAGTTGTTTTTATTCTTTTTTGTCCCAGTAGCATGAATGACGTAACTCGTGTGTAAAGATATGTAACTCGCGTTATTGACAATGTAACTCAAGTCCGTTGAAATGTAACTTGTCAAATATATAGTATAAGAAATAAAATATTGATTTCAATGTAAACAATATAAAAGAGAGTCTAATTGTAAAATTGCTTTAACTAAAACATGAATATATTTTGTTTTTAATATTAGGGCTATAAAAATGATATAGCAGATGTTTATTCCATGATGTAACTCGCATACATTAAGATGTAACTCGCACAGAAAAAGATGTAACTTGTGTACATTAAGATGTAACTTGCGCAAAAAAAGATGTAACTCACACACAAGAAGATGTAATTCCATATACTATTAAATGTAACTCCAGATATTGCCTATAAAAAGACTCAAACATGTGGAATGTAAATCACACATATGAAATTGTAATCTCATATTTTACCAAGGATGTTTTTACTTGGACTGTAATTCGTCCTTGACTAGACCATATCAGACCAGATCAGACCAGACCAGACCAGTTTAAACAGACCAGACCAGACCAAACTTGGATAGTTATAAAAATACAAAGAAACCAGACTAGACCAGACCAGACCAATTCAGACCAGACCAGACCATCAAATTACAGTCCAAGTAAAAACATCCCAAATGTAAATCAAAATATCCAAATTTAGTATCTTAAAAGTACTAAATGCATATAAAAGAGAGAAGAAATATACTATAGAAAAAAGTGTACGAATATGAAAAAAATATTACAAAAAGTATATAAAAAAAATATTTTGAAGAAAAAATAATAATTTTTTTATTGTAATTTCAGTTGAAGAAAAAAAAGAAAAAAAGGTGCATGAATAAGGATGAAAATTAAATCACAAAATTGAAATACGAAGTACATAGGTCCAGTGGTACTAATTTTTAAAGAATATCATTTGAAAATATGATACCCTTCCACAATAAAAAAAATTAAAAGTAAAAAAGGAAGAGGAAAAAATTAAGAGTAAAAAATGAAAAAGGAAAATAGATAGAGGATGGGGAGTGCACTAGAAAAAGAGCCAACGAACTAAATGAAAAAGACAAAAAGTAAGGAAGGTGGGGGAGACGGAGTGTGCCAATGAGAAGATGACCGAATTGTTTTCAAAAACGGTACCGTATATGCGATCGATATACCATGCGCATGGTACACCGATCCCACGATATAATTTACCGTTTAAGATATGGATCGGAGTACATACTTCATGTGTATATGGAGTATTATTATTTTAATTAATTTTGTTTAATATGGTACCCGTTCTTAATTGATGCTTCAGTTCACTTTTCACATTTGTCGATATACAACTTTGACAATTATTCCCCTGTTTTCTAAAACTTGATCAAGTTTGACCAACATAAGAATTACGGAGTAATAAAGTAAAAATTGTGTGATTGAAGTTTGTGCAGATGAGAAATAATTAAATGAAACCACAGATCCTTTACTTGGTGGGATAACAAAAAAAGTCAAGCAAAATTTTAAAGGACAGAAGAGGTATTTAACAAATAATTTACAATGAGATAAGTTGAACAATATTTAGTTAAAATTACTTTGCTCTGTATTAAACATTGTGGAGTAATAAATAAGGCATAATCAAAATATACAGAACATACGACTAGTGTAAAATACTAAAATAAATACTAAAATTCACGCACTATGGAGATACTATACAAATATACAATGGCTCCGTTTGAAAACCAACGTGCCGACCAAAAAGATTGTTTTGCAAAGTAAACACAGTGTTTTCCGGCGTTTTTGCCCCCAAACGTTAAAAAAACACGGTCCCAAATCCCAATTCAATGCTGCATAAGAGTTAGCCTTTAGTAGGTGTTGACTATCGGTCAATATTATTACAACATATTCCAGACTAATCAAAACAACAATTCTTGTTGTACACCTTCTTATACATATCAGTACACTCTCGTGTCTGTGAGAGTTTTTTTTGTCTGTGAATCCCATTCTACAGACAAAAATTGACATGTTTTGTCTGTTCTACAGACAAAACAAGATTGTTTTTTTTATGAACTGGGATTCACAGATTAAAAAACTCTCACAGACACGAGAGTGTACTGCTGTGTATAAGGTGTACTCCATCCGTCACCAAATTTTTGTAATCAAAATCCATCATCAAGATTGACACGTCAACAATTTGTTAGGTACTCCATCCGTCCCATAAAATAGTTCTCACTTTATTTTTTTAGATTATAACAAAAAATGGTTTCAATTTCCCTTTTTAGAAAGTTTCGTATGACTACCATTCATTTACTTTTTTGTTACTTAACCACAATCATACATTTCCATTTATTCTCACTTTCCTAACTACTATCGTAGATATACGAGTAATAGTCATATTTGTAATTGTAATTTTCTAGACTCTATCTTTTGTAAAATACATTCTCTTCCAAACCAAGAAAAATATAGAGCCCGTTTGGTAGCACGAAAATCGGCTGCTTTGGCTGATTCTGCTGAAATTTATGAAGTTCTGGTTGAAGTGGCTGCATTGGCTGATTCTGCTGATACAAGAAAAAAATATTTTTAAAATATATTTTATTAATAAAATAAAGAAAAAATTATTTGTAAAAATAACTAAAATGATCATCTACAGTAACTTCAGCCAATACAGCCAGAAAAGTAACTTCAACCTTACTTTTTCGGCTTATTACACAATTCAGCGCGTGAAAGCAAAATTTGCGTGTTTGGTAAAAAAGTTGGCTGATAAGCCTGATAAGCCGAAAATGAGGGTTGCCAAACGGCCTCATAGAGTACGTTTGGTAATATCCAAATCGATTGCATCAGATGATTCGGTTGAAATTTAAGAAGTTTTGATTGAAATGGCTGGATTGACCGATGTTGTTGATTTACGAAAAATTGTTTTTAAATTGTATTTTATTAATTAAATAAAAAAAAATAGATGACCAAATAGGTAAAGTAACCCCATAGTATGACTTTAATCAATATAGCCAAAAAAGGTAAATCAAAACTTACTTTTCTTTATTATCATATAATCCGAAGCCTGAAACCAAAAGTTACCTGTGAGTGATGGTGGCCATGGTGGCTGGGATTTTATATACCAGAAGCAGCCGGGCGCGGGATTATATACCATCCTAGCTAGTTTATCACATAAGTACTGCAAATAGCACACCACTAGCTAAGGGAGTTAACCGGACCAGAAGCTGCCGGGCGTGGGCCGCTTCAATTCCCTCCTAGAACCTCCGATCCGCCCTGTAAGGCGGAAAAGCCCGATAGGTGGTAGGCCCTCAGTATATATCACTGATGTTCTTTCTACATTAATTTAATAAAGATGATCGAAATGCTTCTCCAAATATTTCTACTTTAGTTATTTATCAACAAGACAACAAAGAACATTCTACCATTTGACACTGATATTACATATTTACAGCCTATGAAAAGTTCGCCAATGAGTGATTTGGTCATTCAACATGGGGCAGCCTACCCAGGCCATAACTTTCGTCTTTCACCAACGCAAGATTCTCCCCAGCTTCTGGTTTAATTTGCAAGCTCTCTCCATCACATTCTTTAATTCAATTTCAGCACTTGTACAATTAGAAGACACTCAACAGTAAGCTTTTGATCCTGTTTCAAGCATTTTATTGTCCTGTTAGTAAAATGATATAATCTGGGATTAGACTGAGATCACTTAACTATCCCATAAATTCCCATATGGGATTTTACAGCAATGGTTTCCCAGTAGAGCAATGTGTTAAAGAAAATGGCCAGGAAAGATAGAAAATGTCCCACCTTTACGTTTGCGCGTCTTGGGAACCTGTTACATATAGTGGTTTCTTTAGCCACACACTTCCTGGAAACACCATCATATTTATGTCGCTCAAGCTTCTTTTATCATCCTCTTCAAAGGGTTCAAAGCCGAACCTCATAGTCCATGTCTCCAGTAAACTGGGAATTGCAGAAAGCACGAGAGTCTCCACCTTCAATGATTTTAGCATCTAGGGCCACATTCAGGTTAATTGTATGAGTGCATAACGCATAAAGCTGAAAGCATCAAACCCACCCCGGAATTTGATATGACACTACAAAAAACAACAATATTGGCACATACTTGGCACGGAATGGTCGAGTTTGGCACTGGTGACAAAATAGCATTGGCACGGAATGTGGCACGGATTTGACGTATCCGTGCCAAATCCGTGCCAAGTCCGTGATATAATACTTTAAAAATCTTATCAAACAAGTGTCGAGCTATCCTCACTCATATAACTAAATGCAACTTAGAAGAATGTTTTCTTTCTTCAACTTTATATGGTTTTTCATCTATTCCGCTCACCGAATTCGATGATATGAAACAAGCAATGAATGATGTAGAATATGTGAAGTGGTCATTTCTTCACTTACTGTCATCTTACCAGACTTTAAACATGGCAGTATTTTCAAGCTTGCCAGTAATTACCCATATTTAGGGAATAAAAACATGAGAGTTTGGAATTCCCAA